GTGGCTCGTAGGCGCGTGGCGACGTCACGATGACTCGCCACCAGTCCATGGTGGGGCCCCTCAGCAGCGAAACAGCGTAGCGAATCTTCGCTGCTTCCGACTCGACGTAATTCGCGTCGAAGAAAACGTTCATCGTGAAGACCCACGACTGAACCGTCGGACCTCCACGTTGGCTCGGATCGAAACAGGGCGGGCGCTGCGGCTTGAGTGGCATTGGTGCCATGATGTCGTGGTTGCCACTTGTTGCTGCAAACTCCACGTGCCGACGAGCTTCGCGAGGCCTACGCGGGCTTGGCGCGGCCCGATTTCTCTACATGCCAGGCATCGATTGAGCGGCGCCATCACTGGCTGCGCCTGAGCGCTGTCCCACGCTGTCGTTTTGCGTCGGTGTGCCTGATGAGATGACGATCGGTTCTTCTGATTGCGCAGGTGCATTCACCGTTGATTGCTGGCGGGCGGAGTCACGTTCCGCCGTGAGTGTCGCGATTTCAAGTGCCGAATCTTCGAGTTGACGCACGAGACGGTCGAGCTGCTCCTGCGTCAATGTCGCAAGATTAATTTCGGCCATGGCGGGGGTGTCGGGCAAACTCAGCGGGGGCCTCTGTCGTGGCCGTGCGTGCTTACGAGAGAGCACTTCGAGCGGCGGTGCTTGTTCGCTGAGAGACGTCTACCCCCCCAAAAAATTGAGATAGTGGGGAAGCGAAGGTGTGGGTGCGGTCCGAGAGGAGATCGTAGGCTCGATACCAAGTGTTACGCGTGCAATTGAGTGAGCGAGCGAGAATTGCACTATCGAAGCAAAAGGTACAATGAGCGAAGGCATGAGCGAAAAATATATAGCGAAACTACAGTGGTAACGGTAATGCGTGGAAATTGGGGTGCGCGACGGGCCTGGCGCCGAGGTTGGGATTTGTCGAGGCGGAGGTCCGGATCGCGGGTTACCATCCGAACCGTGAGGTTGGGTCGCGTCGTGAACGGTGGCGGGAATGGTGTCGAAGCGAGTGTCGCGAGTGGTAACGGATTACTGTTGGGTGCTGTGGGCGGGAACAGTGGTGTACGCGCTGAGCAGGGACGCGAAGTAAGGAAAAGGGATTTTCCTTACAAAGCTGAAAAACTAATATACACCTTTAACACAAAAAAAAGGTGAAAATCAATTTAGGTACGTAGAAGACTGCTGACTGATTAGCCTTGGAGAAAATTAAGGTACAACATTCAGCCCTTTTACCAAAATACGCATAGAAACTCTTAAATTTGGGGGGCATTATCACTCCCACATGCAAGCAGAATACAAACGAAGGAAGTAGCACCGACTGCATATGAGAGACATGCTAACCACAACTTTATACCGTAATTCCCCATGTGTAACAACATAAACATCTGTTTGCTTTTCGGTGTCTGAAAGTCATGTTCCGTTCACGAAGTTGCAGTATCAAGGAAAACGGAGTTTGGTTTGGAAACGCGTGAGCTGACAGCTCCACAGGTGTTGTAGGCTTCAGGGTTGGCTGAGGCAAGGAGTGCACCTTTCTGGTTGGTTGAGGCTGAGTTTGCGACGTGGTTCTGCGTGGAGGACCTAGAGCCAGTGTGATGTGAAGTAGCTTCGGCTCGGTGCTGTTTCGCGAATTGTCGTGCGACGCGGAAGCAGTCCGACGTGGCAATGGAACATTCCTCCCGCTCTCCAGGATAAATCTTGATCGCGCTTTTCCCAACTGCCCAATCGGTTCGGTTCTCTCTTACGGGAAACTCAGCTCGTCAGACATCCTTCAAAGCTTTCACTCTCGTTCTAGCTGAATTAGCAGTCAGATTTAGGCTGACGATTTGAGAACTTCACCTTCATCAGTCATCTCGTGAGGCACTCTTCTCTTGGCTTTCGTACTCTGCCCTTCTCAGTTAGCCATGGCTCTCACAGCAAGGGCCCTCGGGTTCCTTGTTCTATGCGCCTTAGCGTGCTGCGCTTTGGCAGCAGACGATGCTCCGAAGCTGGGCACGGTGATCGGCATCGACCTGGGCACCACGTACTCGTGCGTGGGCGTGTACAAGAACGGGCACGTGGAGATCATCGCCAACGACCAGGGTAACCGTATCACGCCCTCGTGGGTGGCCTTCTCGGACTCGGAGCGCCTCATCGGCGAGGCGGCGAAGAACCAGTTCGCGTCCAACCCCGAGCGGACAGTCTTCGATGTCAAGCGACTCATTGGCCGCAAGTGAGCACCCGCTTGTCATGCCCTTTCCTTCGTTCTTCCCCTTTTTCCTCGTTTTTTCCGATGGTCGTATTGATCGAAATTCGTTTTCACTTAAATTTTAATTATTCCGATCTGACTAAATTTCTGTTATTTTTCCTCGAATTTCGCTGCGCGCAGGTTCGCGGACAAGGAGGTGCAGCGCGACATGAAGTTGGTGCCGTACAAGATCGTGAACCGCGACGGCAAGCCGTACGTGGAGGTGGAGGTGAAGGGCGAGAAGAAGGTGTTCTCGCCCGAGGAGGTGAGCGCCATGATTCTCGGCAAGATGAAGGACACGGCGGAGGCGTACCTGGGCAAGAAGATCAAGGACGCCGTCGTCACCGTGCCCGCGTACTTCAACGACGCGCAGCGCCAGGCCACCAAGGACGCGGGCGTGATCGCGGGGCTTAACGTGGCGCGCATCATCAACGAGCCGACGGCCGCCGCCATCGCGTACGGCATGGACAAGAAGGGCGGCGAGAAGAACATCCTCGTGTTCGATCTGGGCGGCGGCACGTTCGACGTGAGCATTCTCACGATCGACAACGGCGTGTTCGAGGTGCTGGCGACGAACGGCGACACGCACCTGGGCGGGGAGGACTTCGACCAGCGCATCATGGAGTATTTCATCAAGCTGATCAAGAAGAAGTACAACAAAGACATCAGCAAGGACAACAAGGCCCTCGGCAAGCTGCGCCGCGAGGCGGAACGCGCCAAGCGCGCGCTGAGCAACCAGCACCAGGTCCGCGTGGAGATCGAGTCGCTCTTCGACGGCACTGACTTCTCGGAGCCGTTGACGCGCGCGCGGTTCGAGGAGCTGAACAACGACCTGTTCCGCAAGACGATGGGGCCGGTGAAGAAGGCCATGGAGGACGCGGGGCTGCAGAAGACGGAGATTCACGAGATCGTGCTCGTCGGCGGCAGCACCAGGTGCGGCGCAGTGACTTAATTCCGTTTTGGGTTGGGCTCCGCTTCTGGCCATCCTGTGTGTGGCTTTGTTCCTTTCGTTTTTTTTTTTTTTTTTTTTTTTTTTTCTCTCTCGACGAGTGGTCACTGAGATGAGTGAGTGGTTGCGGTGGTGCAGGATCCCCAAGGTGCAGCAGCTGCTCAAGGACTACTTCGACGGCAAGGAGCCCAGCAAGGGCGTCAACCCCGACGAGGCCGTCGCCTACGGCGCGGCCGTGCAGGGCGGCATCCTCAGCGGCGAGGGCGGCGACGAGACCAAAGGTACGATTTCGTGATTGAGGGAGGGCTCATGGCTCGTTGCTGGTGGTGAATTGAATGGTTCACTGGCCGTGTTTAGTTTCTGTGAATCACGGGCCAGTAAAACAACACAGAAGTGGAATCTAATGAGCTTTAAAAAATAACCAAGCTTGACTTCAAAGAACGTTCTTGACTCATAACGTCTTTCTGCTGTGCGTTGCCCCCTCGCCCCACCCGCCTGCCGCAACAGACATTCTGCTGCTGGACGTGACGCCGTTGACGCTGGGCATTGAGACGGTGGGCGGCGTGATGACGAAGCTGATCACGCGCAACACGGTGATCCCCACGAAGAAGTCGCAGACGTTCACGACGTACCAGGACCAGCAGACGGTGGTGTCGATCCAGGTGTTCGAGGGCGAGCGCGCCATGACCAAGGACAACCACCTGCTCGGCAAGTTCGACCTCACCGGCATCCCGCCCGCCCCGCGCGGCGTGCCGCAGATCGAAGTCACGTTTGAGCTGGACGCGAACGGCATCCTGAACGTGAAGGCGGAGGACAAGGGGTCGGGCAAGAGCGAGAAGATCACCATCACCAACGACAAGGGGCGCCTCAGCCAGGACGACATCGAGCGCATGGTGCGCGAGGCCGAGGAGTTCGCTGACGAGGACAAGAAGGTCAAGGAGCGCGTCGACGCGCGGAACTCGCTGGAGACGTACGTTTACAACATGAAGAACACGATTGGTGACAAGGAGAAGGTGGGCGGGAAGATCTCGGACGAGGACAAGGAGACGATTGAGGGCGCGGTGAAGGAGGCGCTGGAGTGGTTGGACGACAACCAGAGCGCGGAGAAGGAGGAGTACGAGGACAAGCTCAAGGAGGTGGAGGGCGTCTGCAACCCCATCATGACCAAACTCTACCAGGCCGGCGGTGGGCCCAGTGGCGGTGGTGGGGCCGGTGGGGAGGAGGATGAGGAGCCCGAGGACCACGACGAGCTGTGAGGGGCTGTGGATGGTGTTACAGGAAGTCTTAGTTCCAGGCCTCAAGCTGGCTGGACGATTTGGGGAATAGAGGGATTGTTTTTGCTCCTATATAGGACCTACATTCGTGAACAAATACCCAATACTAAGCTGAGCATCGGCTCTCTTTTGAACCTTCCTACGGTACATTTTCTTGATTACCATTCACTGATGATTTAGGAACACAGCTTGCCCCATAATGCGCCATTTTGTAGCAGGGCAGGCCCACATTGGAACAAATGGTGGAACACTGGATGTCAGCTCATCGATCTTCTCCTGAACCAGTTCCTTACTATGATCTTTCTTGCATGATCCGGTTGCCACCCACTTCAACTACCCAGTGACATAAGTTCCAGCTACCAGTAGCTTGAGGTAGGATTGGGATTGGGTGTACTGCTTGCAGCTTCTGTGCCGTCTCCATTGATCCAAGTTGAGAAGAAAGGTGACGACTAATACCGGTACATCATGAGAATAACATTGATTTATACACCAGGCAGAAGCAAACTCTACATTTTCAGGCTACGGGACCACCTATCTACTTGTTGGCCTTCCTCCTCTGCCCCCTCATCTCCCCTCCTCACCCCCTCCCACGCCTCCCTCCACCCCTCTCTCCCCTGAATCACCCTCCACCTCCCTCACATCCCCCTCCCCTCCCTCCTCCCGCATGTCCCTCATGAGCATGTGGGCGTACACGAGCTGGTTCCAGGTGTCGGGCACGCCCGGCAGGCACCAGTGCAGGCAGTCCTGGTGGGCGCCGTCCAGCAGGTACCCCCACTGGGACGGGTGTGCGTCAGGGCGGAACGACGAGAGGTGCGACGTGTTGAGCAGGTGCAGGGACGGCAGCCCCGCCACCGCCTGCTCTGCTGCCGGGTCGCGCGATGAGTTGAGTGGCAGCACGGCGGACAGGGACAGGGGGTCCTGCAGTGGGCACGGGGAGACAGGGGCAGGGCAAAGGGGAGCAGCAGCAGTGTTAGGGGAGAGGCTTGGAGGGAGTAGTGGCATAGACGATGGTAAGCACGAGGGCACGTGCCAAGTGAGGAAGGCCAGGAGGGCACGAGGGCATGAGAGCAGGGATGGCATGAGGGCAGGGTAAGGAGGGATGGGGTAGTCTCACGCGCATGTGGTCGCAGTGGCCGCGTGTGTTCCACTCGCCGTCAAAGAAGTGCCGTGGCGACGCCGTGCGCAGCAGCAGCAACGGCGCCCTCCCCCCTCTCCGCACCCCCTTGCTGCTGCCACCGCCCTCCTCTGCTGCACCTGCCCCACCCTCCCCACCGACGACTTCTCCTCCTCCCTCGCCCCCTTGTGTCTCCGGTGCCTGCCCTGTAGCCCCCTCGCCCTCGCGCCCCCCCATGGGTGCGACGTGGCGGTGCAGCCAGGCCATGGTGGAGCGCAGGGCGATGCGCTGCAGCGCGTGCATGATGCCAGCGCTGCCCTCTATGCGCACCCTGCTGCCGCCAGTCGTCGTCTCACTGCTCTCACCCTCACTGCTGCTGCTGTTGTTGCTGCTGCTGCTGCTGCTGCTGCTGCTGCTGCTGCTGTTGTTGTTGTTGCTGCTGCTGCTGCTATTGTCTGTGTGGTGTGCATGTGGCAGCGGTGGGGCATCAACATGCACGTCAAGGTGCAGCTGAGGGTCGTCGATGTTCACGGGCTGCCCTGCAATGTGCACGTCCCACTTGCTCTCGCGCACCTTGCCCCTGGTGTCATGTCATGTCATGTGCCATGGCGTGTGCAGGGGTTGCATAGAAGTGTGCTGGTTGCCATTGCTGTAGTGTGGTGTGCCGGCATGGCATGTGTTGCTTAAACACAAGTGTCATTCACACATCATCCCATGACCCTATGGCATGCCCATACCCCACGCCTTTCCCACCCACACCTGCTCCAGTGGTGAGCACTGTTCATGACGACCACGTCCAGGCGGTGCAGGTGGGTCTGCAGGAAGTCGTCGGGCTGGTCCACGTGCATGGCCGCCCCGCCCTCCAGCTTGTCACTCTCGTTGTAGTACGCTATCTGGGGGGGGCGGAGGGGGCAGAGGGCAGGGGGCCGGAGGCAGGAGGGTAGGGAGCAGGAGGCAGGAGGGCAGGGAGCAGGAGGGCAGGGGTACAACAGGGATGAGCGAGCAGGGGTGCAGAGTGGAGTGGGCAAGCAGAATAGAAGGCACACAGCAACAGAGCAACATGGGAAGTGCAGGGGGTGGGGCGGACCACTACCACATCACGCACACCCTGGACAGTACGGGAGGATGCAGCGACACCCAAACACGCCCCTCACCTAGCCCTCAATGGTGCGACCCACCTTGCAGAGGCAGGAGGACCAGGAGAAGAGGATGGTGGTGTTGGTGGCGGGGAAGCGCACGCCATAGCCGGTGGGGCGCATGCGCTTGTACTTGCTCCTCACGGGGATGTTCACGAACCCCCACTCGCCCGCCACGTCCTCCGTGCCCCCTGGTGCGGCAGAGCTGAGCAGGCAGAGCAGCGACTGGAACTGCTGCTGCGCGAGCGAGTCCCCCACCAAGGCCAGCGCGCGGTGGCGCAGGCGGTGGAGGAAGTCAAGCGGGTCAAACGGCGGCACGTCGCAGTGCGAGGGGCGCCACTGCAGCGCCTCATGGTGGAAGGAGGGGCGGTCGGGCGCCCTGCGGCACGCCCACTGCGGGCTGAGCCACGTGCAGTTGGCGCCCGAGTAGAGCGGTGGGCGCGTGGTGGGTACCCATGTGCCCTCTGACAGGTCGCACGCAGGGTGCAGCGCTGAGGATGGGGGTGGGTGGGGGGGAGAGGAGGGGCAGTGGTGGGATGGGGAGATGTGAGGGTGATGGGGGAGAGGCGGAGGTTGGGTTGGGGTACGGCAGAGCTGCCTTTTCATTCCGGTCGCACAAGCCAAGGTGGGGGAGAGGGTGGCACAACACAGAGGCGTGGGGGGCAGAGGGGCAGGGGGGCACACCTCGTGACGGTGCTGAGGGGTTGGGCACTGCACGACGCGCAGCGCTGGCTGGCGGAGCTGCTGCACTCGCCCCCTCCTGCTGCTCACTCGCATCACCTTCAGTCACATTGCCTTGAGTCACATTTGCCTGAGTGACTTGTGCTTGAGTCCAGTTTGCTACAGTCACATTGTCTCGGGTGGTGGTGTCTGCTGCTGCCCCCCCTGCACTCTCATGCTTGCTGCTCACCTCGTCTCTCCTACCCGCCCGCCTCTCCCCTCGCCTCTCCAAGCTCCTCTTCGATTTGCTCTCCTCATCTCCCTCGCTGCCCTCCTCACCTTCTGCCTCCCTGAATCGCTTTTTATCTCTCCCACCACTGCTGCTGCCCGGCCTGCGTCCCACCTCGCCCACTTCTGGCATAACGCCTTTGTCTCTTTCCAACGCCCCCTCGCCACCACTCACACCCTCTCCTCCGCCCACACCCTCCCCTCCGCCCACACCCTCCTTTCCGCCCACACCCTCCTTTCCGCCCACACCCTCCTTTCCGCCCACACCCTCCTTTCCGCTCAGACCCTCCTTTCCGCCCTCACTCTCCTTCCCGCGCACCACCCCATCCGCCTCCCCTCTTGCGCCAGCGTCCCCCTCCTTATCCCTGCGCCTCGAATCCTCCGCGTCTACTCTCTTCGCGCCATTCTCGCTGGTTCCACCCTCGTCACCGCTCTCCATCGCACTAGCTGCCAACCGATCACCCGCACTACCATTCTGCGCCAGCAGGTCAGATCTCACTGTGTCGTCTGGGGACCTGTCGCCTGTGTCGCCGGTGGTCGCAAGCAGGTCGCTCAGCGGCGGCAGCGGCGACCGCGAGAGCAGCACCGAGCCGCCAGCGAGCAGCGCGGCGAGGAGGGCGACGAGGGCGAGGAACGCGGTGCGAGCAGGAAGGCGGTGTGGCGGCCAGCGGGATTGCGAGGATGGCAGGCGGGCGGGGACGGACGGCGGGGATGGGCGGATCGTAGGCGACGCGTGTGCGCGATTCCACCGCCCTTCTTCCACCTCGCGCGACACGTGGCCTTCGAGCGACAGACGTTCGTCATCTATCGCTGTTCGTAGCGACGCCGTCGAGTCGTCAGCGCGCACTGACGCGGTGGAGTCGAGCGGAGACGATAGGCGGAAGGGCAGCAGCGGCTGGTCGAGAGGCACGGCGGCGTGCGTCGTTGGCGACCGCTGCTGGAGACGCCCGCTGCTGGCGGTGGCTCTGAGAGGCGACGCCATGGCGCGTGTGCATTCGCAGCCGCGATCTGTGGTCGCAGCGCGTGTGCACTAGATGTAATTTGCCAGCGGATACTGTGGTCGCAGAGTGCGTGCGAGCGAGACGATAGGCTGAGAGGCTCGCGCGGTCGGAAGGAGAATTTGGCGGCGAGATACGATGTCTTGCCGTGAGCTGTGGAGGAGTGGCGGAGGGAATACACGTCCGTACTGTATTGGTAAGTACGGTCGAGTAGGATGCTGTAAATTGTGGAGGTGTCAGCTGTTTTACCGCTTTGAACCGGCCCGACACTCTGTATAAACCGGAATCTAGTTTCGGCGAGCGGTTTCGCTTTGCTGGGGTGCTGCGGACAGCCATGTCGGCCAATCGACGGCTTAGGTTGAGCCCGCACTGTGTTGTGTGGCCGAACCGCGATCCAGGTGTGATCCAACTCGTTTTTCTGACAACTTCAAGATATGTCTGGTAACCCGCGGTCATGATCTATGTGGGCAGGTTGTACATTTGCAGTTCATGCTTCGTGACTCAGAACGATGAAAAGCGATTTTCGGGTAACTCTAGCCTTTTGTCGTTAGGGTTGCTTGTGTGGACACTTTCCACCCATCCACACATCTCTTCCCCCTACTGATCCTGCAGGCCACTGCCACTACTTCTCCCATCACTCATTCATGGCTCTTTCGGCGCGCCTCCCGTCGACCTCCCTCGCGTCTCGAGCCACGTCGCGCCACCATAGCGCGGCCGAACTTCTGTCGGCCGCCGCTGCGCTCCGCGCGGCGCACCCCTTCCTCGCCTCCGCTGCTTCGCCGTGCGCCCTCACCCTCACCGCGTCACCCGCGCCGTCAGCCGCGGCGGACTCCGACGTTGCGCCGTTCTGCCCGCTCTTCTCGTCGCGACGCACCGCGCGATTCGCGCAGCGGGCAGGTTCACGAGCCGGGAGGCACGTGGCGCGCGCCATGGCAGAGGCGGACGCCACAGCTGCCGCCGGGAACGGCGGAGCTGCCGGGCCGGCACCCGTGGCGAGCGACGGTGAGTGATTGCTGCTCGGCGAGGGGCGACGGATGGGTCGGGTGGTGCCTGGGGCAGCGGAGGGTGGCGCACACGTGGCCGCGCGCACTAGTCCTGTAGCGCCATCAGCCTCCCTGCTGCATCCGTTTCGTTGCTCCTGTGCCTCCCCTCCCGCACCATGCTTTGAGTCCGCTTCCATGGGCCCCACTGTTTGCGCATGGCATGGGAGCACGGGAGCAGGGCAGCGAGTGGCGCGCGTGGCGCGGAGGACCAAGGAGACGGACGTGGAGGTGACGATCGCCATCGACGGCGAGGGGCGGTGCTGCTCCGCCACGGGCATCCCGTTCCTCGACCACATGATGGACGTCAGTGGCCCTTGATGCTCGTGAGAGGCTTGGGGTGCAGGGCTTGGGGTGCAGGGCTTGGGGTGCAGGGCTTGTGGTGCATGTGAGTGAGGCAGTGAGCACATGGTGCACGTTTGAGTCACGTGTTGCCACGTGCTGTCGTTGCTGGGCGAGCATTTGTCACGTACTCCCCCCCCATCTTCCCATCCCCCCACCCCCTGGGCACTCCTCCCTCCCACCCACCCCTGCAATGCCACTTGCACCGCTCACCACACTGCCCTGCCCCATGGCGTCTCTCCCCCCTCCTCCCACCCAGCAGCAGCTGGCGTCACACGGGCTGCTGGACGTGAGTGTGAGGGCGGAGGGCGATGTGCACATCGACGACCACCACACCAACGAGGACATCGGCCTCGCCCTCGGCTCCGTCAGTGCCCCTCTGCCACCCCACTCCATCACGTGCTGTGCCGTGCCATGCCATTGCCATGCATTTGCCATGCATGCCATGCCATGCCATGCCGTTGCCGTGCCATGCCATGCCATGCCATACTGTGGTCAGTGCCCATGTCTGCCGTGCCCTGTTGTGGTATGCCATGGCATGGCATGGCATGGCCTGCCAGCCACTAGGCCGGAGGATCTTTTGAGGATGGATGACTCACCATAAGCTGCTTCTGTGGGTGCCACAGCAGCACCACACCGCTGTTCCGTGCACACCACCATGGACCTAGCTTGCTCTCCTGTCATTCCCCTCCTCCTGACCTCGTGCTCCGCCCGTTGCTCTCTCCACCCCGGGCAGGCGTTGGCGGCGGCGCTGGGGGACAGGAAGGGCATACGGCGCTTTGGGGACTTCTGTGCGCCGCTGGACGAGGCGCTCATCCACGTGGTGCTGGTAGGCGCTCATCCACGTGGTGCTGCATGCGAGTGTGTGGGAGTTTATCGTACACACTTCCACCCTAACCCTCTGCTGACCGTCTTGTGCTCTCCACATCTGACCCTCTCACCCACTCCTTTCTCCGCGTCTCCAATACCTCCTCGCCCCCCTCCATGCCCGCCAACCCCCCTTCTTGGATGTGCGCATCAGGACCTGTCGGGGAGGCCGCACCTGTCCTTTGACGTCACCATGCCCACAGAGAGGGTCGGCACATACGACACCCAGGTGCTGCCCGTCACCCCGCTCTCTTTCTCCATGTGCCAACCCTCCTACCTTACCTGTGCCACTTCCTTTCCCACTCTGCCCACCTCCATATCCATTTCACCACTCCCCGCTGCTATGCCCTCTATCCCTTCCTACCCACCCCCCCGGGTCCCCTCCGTCGCCCGCTGTGGCGAGAGCAGCTGGTGGAGCATTTCTTCCAGTCGCTCGTCAACACCAGCGGCATCACTCTGCACATCCGCCAGGTCACGCCCTCACCTGCACATTCAGCTGCTTCCTTTTATGTGAATGTGCATGTAAATCTCCCATGACACATGTGCCACGTGGTGTGATGAGCATGTGCTCCCTGCACCATCCATGTCACGCTGCTCTCTGCGCTCTACCCTCCTTCTCAACACTGCTGTGCCGTCCGCCGCATCTTCTCCTGCATGTTATTGCCTGCTCCTCACCCTGCCCTGTCTCGGCCCCTATTGTCCCTCCTCTCGTGGCGCAGCTAGCGGGCAGCAACACGCACCACATCATAGAGGCCACCTTCAAGGCCTTTGCCAGGGCGCTGCGACAGGCCACTGAGATCGACCCCCGCCGCGCTCACACCGTGCCCAGGTGAATTACTAGCTCGGCCCAGCCCGGCTATGCCCAGTTGTGCCAGGTAAAATCCCATCTGTGCTAAGTTAAACCCTTGTTATGCTCAGGTGTATTGCCAGCTGTTAGCATCTCTTGTGAAGACCGATTCGTTGCACTTGCAATGTTGCCTGCCCACCCAAGCCTGCGTGGGCAGCAGCAGCGCCTCAGGCCCGGCACCATGCCTCTGTTGAGATGTGTTTTTGAGATGCCCCTTCACTCACTTGCTGCTTCTCCTTCACTTTCCATCCCTGCCTCCCCTTGCCTCATTCACCACCCCTTAGTTCCAAGGGAGTGCTCTCTCGCACGTGAGCCGTCTATCCAGGCAATGCGTATCACCTGTGCTGGTGGTGATAGCATCTACGATGGGAATACAGATTTGTTGGATACTCGTCCATTGATGTTCCCCACGCATGATACCTTCATTTAGATTGTTCCAGGTGTCAAACTGTATATGTTATGCTAGATTATGTAGGCTGTACTGGGGTAGCCAATGTAGGGTACAACCCCTTAGGGTTTTCTCTTGTACCACAACTCTCTCCATAGTTTCATCATTCCTAGCTACCTACTCTAACATGGTATCCAGAGCATTAGGTCCTTAGGACCTTAGGAGCGTTTTTTTTGGGGCCCACCACCTACCACTTGCGGCTACCGTGCTACCCCGCGCCCTGCCCTGCCCTAGTCCCGCGCACGCCCCGCTAGCAGCCCGTGCGGCCCGCGCGTCGCCTCTGCTGGCCCGCGCGTCGCCCGCTAGTAGCCCGCGCGACCCGCCCGCCGTCCGCGCAGCCCGCGCGCTCCTGCCGGCCCGCGCGCCGCCCGCCAGCAGCCCCGTAGGCCGCCCGTAGCCCCGTGCGCCGCCTGCTCCTGCCGCGGCTGCCTGCTACGCCCCGCGCGCCGCTCGTCGCGCTGCCCCGCAGCCCCGTGCGCCGCCCGCCCTGCTGCTCTGCCGGCCGCTCGTCGCCTCGTGCGCCGCCTGCCCTGCTGCCGCTGCCTGCTGCGCCTACGCGCCGCCTGCCCTGCTACTGCAGCCGCACACTACGTCTTGCATGCGGCCTGCCCTGCTGCCCTGCCGGCCGCCTGTAGCCCTATGCGCCGCCTGCCCCTGCCGCGGCTGCCACTGCTGCTGCCAGCGCCGCACTGCCCCACCGTGCCCTAGCTGCGCTGCACTGCTGAACCGCGCCGCGCTGCCTAGCTGCCTGGCAGGCCGGTTTCTACTGCTGCACTGCTGCTAGTGCTACTGTTGCTGCTACTGCTGCTGCTTGCCTGCAATCGCTCTGCCCTGCTAGTCCCGCGCCAGCAGCTATGGCCACCCTCCGAGTTCTGTCGTTCGATGCCGAGGGCCGCCCGCTTCAGTTCGAAACCTGGCTATATGACCTGCAGCTGTTCCTAATGAGCGATAGCAAGGACAATGTCTCGCTCTATAACCACACGTCTGGTGCCTCAGTCGCTCCCGTTGCCACCGCTGAGCTTAGCGCCCGTTCCCAGTGGCAGACCCGTGATGCTGCTGCGCGCCTAGCCGTTCGCAACCACCTTCCGTTAGCCGAGCTCACGCATTTTGGCAAGTACAAGACTGCTAAGACCCTGTACGACGCTGTAGTTGCTCGATACTCCTCCCCTGCCACAGCTGAGCTTAGCCGCCTCATGCTGCCCTACCTGTTTCCTGAGCTGTCCACCTTTGCCACAGTTGCCGATCTCATTACCCACCTTCGCACTAGCGACACCCGCCTGCGCGCAGCCCTCCCCAAAGAGTTCTGTGCTAAGCACCCGCCTCCGATGTACTGGACCCTCCACTTCATAGTCACCCGTCTCCCTGACTCTCTTAGCTCGGTCAGGGACCACTTTCTCGCTCGCTGTCCCACCGAACTCACTGTCGACCTCCTAGAGGAGC